ATCCACTATCAAAATGATAGTGACGTGCCCATCCGCAGTATTCTACAAAATTCTGTCCCGACAACTCCTTTAATAAACCATTTCTATTTTTTCGGAAACCTCTTTAAGGTGTACTTGAATTGAGAGAGAAAGATTCCTTGTGCTTCAGAAAAATATGACAAAACTATTGAAAAGCGCGCTACTTGGGCTTGTTCCAGGTTTTTTTTTCGCTGCTATAACTTGTTAGATGAATTTAAAAGTTGTAAAAAAAAAGAGTAAACTACTAAACAACCACAGCTGAACAAACGAACAGGAGGTGCCTGAAGTACAGTATATCTGAAGTGAACCTAAAACTGCAACGGACCAAAGCGTGAAAAGTAGGGGGAAGGAAATAGGAATATTGGCGCAGATCGGCCTGGTGGGCAGGTGGTACCCGTGCATCATTCCCTATGCCTCCTGTGGATACCTGTTAATTCCTGTATTCCTAAGTCCTGAAGCTATGCATTAGCAGCCATCGTTTTAACACTTGGCAAGAGTCCACAGGTCCCATCAGGAAGAGAAGGTAATTCAGAGGAAATTAGAGAAGTGCAAGATGTCTCACCCCTGCTAAGCCAAACAGTGTTGAAATATTAGGTTGTCCGGAAAGTTCTCAGCGTTTTGTGCACCTATTTCTTTGTACATTCACTGCTGATTAAAAACTCATTCTGCCTTGCTTCTCAGTAGCACATCCTGTAGAGAATTTCTTGCGCTATCTGATGGTATAATTGCCGTTTCACCATTGCTTGATAAACCCCCTTTTTTCAAGATTTTTTCAAGCATGTGAAAAGAGCACTTCGGACGATTTTTTTCTTCGACTATAAATTGGGGCAATCCGCAATCGAAACAGCTCAACAAATTAACCAGGTGTGGGGGCCCAATAGTGCTAGAGAAAGCACTGTGCGGCAATGGCTCAACAAATTTCGTTCTGGAGATTTCAGCCTTGAAGGTGAACCTCATAGCGGTCGACCTAAAGCAATATCTGACGAGGATTTTAGGGGGATTTTGGAGGCTGACCCATCCCAAACAGTTCGAGAGATAGCAGAAGAGCTAGGCCTTGGCAAATCCACTGTTGCAGATGGTCTGGAACGCATTGGGAAGGTGAAAAAACTCGACAATTGGGTGCCCCACAATCGGAGTGACCGGCAGGAATCGGCACGTCTCGAGGTTCCTTCTGCATTGCTTTTGCGCAGCAGAAAACCGAATTGTCACCTGTGATGAAAAATGGGTCATGTATGATAACAGGAGACGTTCCGGACAGTGGTTGGATTTCGACGAACCACCGAGGTAATTTTCAAAGCCGAACCCTCACGAAAAAAGATTCTGGTCACGGCTTGGTGGTCATCGGCTGGTGTGATCCACTATAACTTTTTATCACCAGGCCAAACCATCACAGCAGAACCCTACTGTGAAGAAATCGACGAATTGTACCGAAAATTTTGTCAGATGCAGCCAACACTTATCAAAAGAAAGGGTCCGATTCCTTTGCATGACAACGCCCGCCCACACGTTTCACAAATCACTATCCATAAATTGAACGAATTGGGGGTTGAAGTTCTACCTCAACCGCCATATTCTTCAGACCTTTCGCCAACCGACTATCACCTTTTCTAACATTTTCAGAACTCCCTTGCTGGAAAATACTTCATCAATCAGGACCAGGCAAAAAAGCCTTAGTGGATTTCGTGAATTTTCGACCACCCAGTTTTTTACTTTGATGGGATTTCTCGACTGCTGTCACATTGGCAAAAGTGTGCTGATTCGAATGGTGCCTATTTCGATTAAATCCGATGAGTATTAAAAAAGTTACGATCGTTTAAAGTGAAACACCCAAAACGCTGAGAACTTTCCGGACAACCTAATATTATGAAAACATGATTCGTATGCTATTTGAATGGTCATCGGCGGACAATCACATCTTTAAGATGTACAACAACGCGTCGCTTATTTGTGCACGAAGCTGTCTACGATACCGTCCTTGATCGTGTTAAGCGCGCGTATGCTCAGTTCGAGTCGAGAATTGGAGATCCACTCGAGTCGAACACCATCATCGGTCCTCTTCATAATCAAGTTGCAGTGATGAAGTACAAAGTAGGAAATTTTCTTGCATGATTCCCCTCAGGTTTGCCTTTTTATGTTTCGTCACTTATTTCAGGCTACTGTTGCGGAGGCGATCGCCACTGGCGGCAAAGTGGAGTACGGAGGCAAGGTGTGGTTCTTGTTTTTAGAAAACTTGGTTTAGAAAGGTTGGCATAGTCAGGCATGGCTGGTTTATATGAGCGCGCAATCAGCTTATTTTCATTTTGCTTTCATATTCAGGTTTTTCTGCAAAAATGATGAGTTTTTGTTATTTAGCCTAAGTGGCTTAGTGTAACCCTTGAATAGAGCTTGCTTTCGTTTGAAACGCCTTGCAAACCCCTGCTGATTACTTGAATGGACGTCCAAAAGGAATTTTAATGCCCCTCTTATCCACGATGACGTCTGAATCAGTTTTCTCTCTACTATGGTGATAGATTGATGTTGACTGTATTCCAGGTATTAGAGAAAGAAGGGAACTTCGTCCTTCCAACAATCATCACCGGACTTCCTCATGATGCTCCTGTAGTATTGCGTGAGACATTTGCACCAATTCTGTACGTGATCAAAGTGAAAAGTCTGGATGAGGCCATCAAATACAACAATGAGGTGGGTGAAACTGTTTTAAGACTTTTTCACGATTATGATTGCTTCACGTAGTACCTCCAATTATTAACCATTTTTGCATTTTTCTACGCGAGAGCGCGGCGTTGTAGTGGCAAGTGCCGCTGGATACTATCGCACGATCACAGTACGGTAACTTCAGTAGGCGAACAACCATACCCCAAATGAGCCGTAAATAAATCTGGATGCACACCAAACACAGTATCTCACGACAACAGCGTCGAAATTGCCTGGGGAACGTATGTGTTGCGATGCGAAGGATATCCAAAGGATTAGAACGATTGCATGGAGTAGTGTTCGTAAGAGCTGCCCGTTGGATACTCCAATGCATCATTTTTCTATTTACTTTGGGTCAGAATTTCTCATGACATTGCAGTGGAGTTTTTGCACATTACTGAGGCATCTTATTGAAGCATTTTCCAGATGAAAATGTCACGAGACTTCCCCGAAAATTGATTAAATTGGTAGAACAACATAGTTTTGCATGTGTTCTCCTTCACAGGTCCCGCATTCATTCCGTGATAAATGCCCTGCTTCTTTCCATGTTCGAGTAGTGGTTTCAATTATCCACATTCTTATATATGGTTCTGATGACAGTATAGCCTCCTTGTTGTGGTTACCACTGCCTGCTTGCTTCCGTTGGTGCTTCTGCTGGTTTCGTGCGATACGAGGAATGATGACAAGCATAGTTTTTCTGAACGAAATACAGTACGAGTACGAGATCCATAGTCAGCCCTATTCACAGCTTCAAGAATAAGCTCGCAGTTGAAACCTGAACTACTCTAGGCATTCTAGGAGTGGTGCTGAAATGAGGAGAAAAAGTTGTGCATAGTGCAACAACATTCGTTCACTAATCTGGAAGGCGAAAAGTTTCCCATTCCGATGCAGTCGTGTTGTTTTTAAAACCTAAACAGACTCTTATTTGATCGAGAATGAAGACAAAACTACTTGGACTGGGTTGCGGTGAGCTGCGTTCATAATTCTCGTCTGCGTTTCGAGCGTTTTGGGCGAAAAGGAATGTTAGCTATCGACCTGGCGTTTTGAATCTTCTCAGCGGAATGCTAGCGTTTTGAGCGAAAAGTCTAGTGTAGGTGTCGATCGGCGCTAAAAACGACAGATCGATAACTATACTATTCTTCTCGCCCAAAACGTTCAAAAAATGCTCGATGCGATAGCAACCACAACACATACGTGCGTTATCCAGGCAATTTCGACGCTGTTGTCGTGAGATGATGTGTTTGGTGTGCACCCAGATTTATTTACGGCTCCTTTGGGGTACGGTGTATGATTGTTCGCCTACTGAAGTTACCGTACTGTCGCACGATCGGGACGTCAAAGCGGATGGTCTCGCACCCGTAACGACCAAACCTCTAATTCGCCGGTTTCGGATAGTTTATACCAAGCTTGTCTGAGAGGTCAAAAAGGCAGACTCTTACACGGCCCCGCCCCGCAAGTGCTTCTGTGGAGAACTGTAGGGGTGCGGGTACTTAGATACCCGGATGGGCGTGCCACAAGGGCGAGGCCTCGACATGGATGAGTCTAATTAAGCTTCAGCAATTCGTCCTGAGCTTGAAGATGGTAGTTTCTCTCTTGTTCAAGAGCTATCGAAAGTGCTTCTACCTGAACTTACAATTTCCAAAACGAAGAAATAAATTAGATTGGAAATTTATGCTTTCTACTAAGGTAGACATCTGACAGAGGCAAAGAAATGGCTGCGAGGTCTTACGTATGACCGTGCAATGAAATCTCAACACCGATTACCGATGCTTTGAAGGCAGTGGGAATGTTTAACCAGGAAACGGCGTTCCCGTATAACATCTATGGCGGGAAAAGTTGGGCAACACCCGTCCATGTCGAGGCCTTGTCCCCTGTGGCCACGCCCATCCGGGTATCTATGTAATGTAAGTACCGGCACCCCGAACTGTAGCCTATGCCGTTCTCGATTTTGTCTCTACGTCAAAAGATGTTCCCTCAAAACTTTTGACTAGTCTCCACCGATTTAGCTCCGATCATGAACTCTTTCATGTGAGGGGTCAAATATGGCTAGTTTGAAACGCGCGTGGATCACTGTTCTCCCTATCCCTTTTCACCATGCGATAAAATGCCCATATGATTCCAAAATGATGCTTTGATAAGTACTTTGTTTCCTTCCCTGAACTTGCTTTTGTATTTGTTTTCAATTTGCCATTCGAACTTCGAACTACTACAGAATACACGGAGCTTGCTTCTTTTTATGCAAATTTTGTATGTTTCAGGCAGCTCAAGGGCTTAGTTCATCCCTTTTCACCAACAACATTCAAAATGTTTTCAAATGGATGGGGTATGTTTTTTCTTACTATGGCTTTTATACGATGTCGCTGTTTTGTTTATGATGGTGGCAGCTCTGCTCATAATATAGCGCGGAGGTGTTTAAGAACTTGGTGCGTATCACTTTCCAGCTTTCTTACGCCTGCCTTCCTATTAGAAACAATCTGTTCTTTACGTAGCTTTTCGCCTGTCTTTGTTATTCATTCCTCCACCTGTCTGTGGTCTGATAGCTTTTCTTTTTACCTTCAAGAAATTCTTTAGTTGGTGGTCGTCGTCGTTACTCAACCATAGTTTGCTCTTCTAGTGTGCTTGAGATAACTTCTTTGGTTTTTTTTGCTTTTAATTTTAGATCTTGACTTATTTGACATTTGCTCGAGGCTCGAAAGTTTGTAGTTGATTTTCGGTTTGATCGCAATTCCGTGTGCTCTACTTATTATTGTGATCCAGGCAGGTGAATCGCTTCAACTGGAATATGCTTCACTATATATACCATTTTCACTTTAAATCGGACACTTTTCAAACCAAATCGGACACTTTTCAAACCAAATCGGACACTTTTCAAACCAAATCGGACACTTTTCAAACCAAATCGGACACTTTTCAAACCAAATCGGACACTTTTCAAACCAAATCGGACACTTTTCAAATCAAATCGGACAACTTGAATCAACTTCCACCCTTTACATGCTCTGAAGAAGGTGAACTCACCGAAACATCGGCCAGCGTTCTTGCCAACCTTGTGTGGAGTTAAGCAGCAAGTAACCTCACATCATCAAATCGGACACTTTTCAAACCAAATCGGACACTTTTCAAACCAAATCGGACACTTTTCAAACCAAATCGGACACATCGGAAGACCTTACAGTGGGCCCCCGCCCACTTCTTAGCGCGGCCGTGGTTTTCCAAATGTTTTATGAATTCTGCTTCTTCGACTTTTTTCACTTTTGCTAGTTGCACACACACTTCAACTGAAAAGGATTGGTACCGATACAGATCTGACTCCGCCCACTTCACAATCAAGTGACGTAAGTTCTGAATTTTTATAACTTTTTTCGACGTCTTTTTTCACATTCAATCTTCACAAAACGAATATAGCCATGCATTTACACACTAGCACACTAGGCCCCGCCCCTCTGACCACGCCCACTTTCGTTTTTCGCGGAATTTTGATTTTTTCTTCCGAATTTTCACTTTTTTAGGCTGTGACAAGCGGCCCCGCCCACTAATGGAAGCTCCGCCCACTTTGTAGAAGCCCCGCCCACTTTTCAAAAATGATGCAGATCGGCGAGCTAGTGACCGTACTAGCAGGTTATGGCCTCTCCCGTCACATAGAATGAAAAAAAGGGAAAGACCAGAAAAAAAGGGAAACTTTGTTCCGGGTGACGGGAGAGGCCATAACCTGCTAGTACGGTCACTAGCTCGCCGATCTGCATCATTTTTGAAAAGTGGGCGGGGCTTCTACAAAGTGGGCGGAGCTTCCATTAGTGGGCGGGGCCGCTTGTCACAGCCTAAAAAAGTGAAAATTCGGAAGAAAAATTAAAACAAGTGGGCGTGGTCAGAGGGGCGGGCCTGGTGTGCTGGTGAGTAGTTGCATGGCTAACCGTTTTGTAAAGATTTAATGGGAAGAGAACGACGTCGAAAAAAGTTGTAGAACTTCAGAACTCACGTTACTTCATTGTGAAGTGGGCGGAGTCATATAGGTGTTGGTACCAAACCTATTCAGTTGATGTGTGTCAAATAGCAAAAGTGAAAAAAATTCGAAAAAAAAACAGAATTCATAAAACATCTTGGAAAACAATGGCTGCGCTAAGGAGTGGGCGGGGATGTGGGGCGGGGCTTGCAGCAGTACCTAGTGTGGTCTAGTTCTCAACTGCCCATTGTAAGGGGTGTGTCCGATTTGATTTGAAAAGTGTCCGATTTGGTTTGAAAAGTGTCCGATTTGGTTTGAAAAGTGTCCGATTTAAAGACACATGGTACGCTCATACACATTGAGGGTGTATGAGACTATCAGCCCCCCAGATGTCGATGTGTCGTGGTCCCCCCGCCCAAACATGCCCAGGAATGGAAATACAGGGAACACGCTAATTCTTCCATGCTCC